ATATTCTGCATAAGAGTTGATGCATGCAGCTCCTCGCCGCTTTTTTAATAGTTCAGCTGGCAGGCTGTCAGCTCAAGCAGCCTTGTTGTTTTTCAAGCGCACTATTGCTATTCGTACCACGTCATAGTCAGGTGGTGGAACATCGACTCCGTCATCATCGACTGGGGGCTCGGATCAGTATTCTCCACAGCTTTCAGTCCCGCTACCATTCAGTAGGGTGGAAAAGTGTTCCCTCCATAAATTAAGTACGCTCTGGACATCAGTCAGTAGGTCGCCATTGTTGTGCACCTAACTCTCTGGTAAGATTTTCGGACGTTTGTCCTGTATTTATTTATGATTTATTTCATTCACCTTTAGATTAAATATATTATTTCTAATACAATTTCGAGCATTAGAACCACCCAATTGAACTGTTTCGATAAGCTCGGCTTGAAACTAAAGTAATTTTGTATTCTTCCTGCTTTAATCTTTGGATCCAACATATAGTCTGTTCGATAACCTCATTGATATGGATAATTATAACAATTTATCAGAATTTAGCGTACGCGTTCGCAAAATCTTGCAAAGTAGGAAAAATTGAGGTGTTGATTTTGAGATGTAGTTACAAATTGTTGTTGGGAAAATATTTACTAGCAACAATTTGCCAGCAAGAAAAACAGCTGATCAAAGTCATCTGTCCGTAATTTATGAAGATAATTAAATTTATTTTCAAGCTCAAAACTTATTAGAACTGCAAATAGTTGGGAAAAAAAGCAAATACTCATTTGCTTACGTTTGCAAGTTTTTCCAATTTTGCGTTCGCGTCCTTTTTTGGATATCTTCCAAATTGAGGGAGAATCGTTCGTTACTCTCCTACAAGTTGCTGCTGGATATTTTTCACTTGTCATCTATTCGAACTAACTAATATTGTTATTACACTCAAAAGCACAATCGAAACCGCAAACACCCGCTTATAGATTATACACAGATCAAAGGTGGTGGATCTCTATTGAAAAGCCATATGCATGTGTAATATTTTCAAATACATTACGATTGGAATAGTTATGATATGACGCAAATGGCTGTCGGGGTGCTCGTTCATATCGTCGATATCAATTGCGCGTTTTGATATTTCGAGACTAAGCTCATTTTTAATACGATATTTCCTCTATTCGTTTTGAATCCGCAAGCACGTACATATATGTACGTAGTTATTTGTTTTGCCTTTTATTGCTGTTAGTAATTTAATTTGATTGATATGTAAACGTAATGATGTCGAAATGTACGTGAAGGGGCCATAAATTAAGTTTGTTTGAAAGCGTTTTTTTTTTTAGTTTTAGATTACTTTGCTCTCAGACAAAATACTATATCAAAATTTAAAATCTTAGCTTCAGAATACAAACTTCATTGTTTAACTTAGAACATCCTCGAAAGCATTTCTTAAGTGAAAATTAAATTTTTTCTCCTTTCAAAATTGGTTTTTATGGTATTTTCGCTGATGCCAAGATGCATCGTTTCATTTAATTGATTGCATTCACGTACACACGTAAATATGTATGTATACTCTGATGTTTTGACGACTTTATTTATTTATATTTTTCATATTTTGTTTATAAAATTATAGTTCATTCATCAGTAAGAACACAAGAATCAATTTCTTTAACAAAAACAATTTCCTTCCATATAACGCATGAACGCAATCTTTTTTTTTATACATTTGAAAGAAGATACGCAACACCCTCAGCGAAAATATGAAAATAGTTCTCAAAGATCAGCCGTAATATTTATAGACATGAAACTTGAATTTATTATACTTACCAACAATTAATCGGCGACAAAACTTCTTACTAAAAATGTTTCTATGAAATCGAATTGAATTTCGATGAAAATTTCTTTCTGAATCCTGAATTTTCCACCGATTTCTCTTTGAAATTGAAAAAAAAAACATGATTCTTGTGGTTTTTGCTGTTGAATTAACTATACTTCAACAAAAAAAGTGAAAAACTTGATATGGAAAATATAGATTAACAAAATCGTCAAAGCGTCGGGGTGTGCATGCTTTTGACGCTGACTGTGTGTTAGTACGTACAGTGGCGGTCAAAAGTGGATGAATGCTGTCTCGTATTTAATATCTACAATATTTTTCAAGCTATAATTTTTTTGACATTTTTTTATAAAAATATGGTTCATGCTTTAACAAAACCCATATAAATAACGCTTTCAAACTTTATACGGAATTTTTATCAAAATTTCGAGCTTTTTAACCAGATTTTTTTTTTTTAATTTTTTAGGTATGCAGTTAATAGGATTATAAAATTTTAGTAAAATTAGTGCAAGTTTTGAGTTGATAAAAAATCGCATTTTTTTCTTTTTTTTTTCGTTGAAGGCGTTTTGAACTTTTTTCCATATAAACATGAATTTTTTGTGGAAGAATATGCGCAGAACCTTTTGCGAAAAAAAATAAATAAATAAACAGTCAATGCCAGTTTTCCTAAATTGCGCTTTTTATATCGTCGCCTGGGTAAGATTGTCGTATGTTAATTTCGGTAGGTTGTGGGAAATCGCGATTGAAGTTTGAAATACAATTTCTCAAAAAACGCGAAGATAGAATTTCTCCAGTCTCTGAAAATGTTACTAGTTCACAAAACTCTTAAATTATTTAATTTTGAATGTTTATTGTTAATTAGTTGTGAGTTTATGAAGTATTTTCTTTAGTAAAATTTTGTCGTAAGCGCCATTTGTCCACAATTCGGCAGCCACTTTTTTATGAAATACGACAAAATGTGATCAAAATTTCTACAAAATTAACGACACTTTTTACACAATATCTCGGAAACTAAAGGAGATATACAAAAATGGAGAACACCATTTCTAAGATATTGATTAGTTTAATATGACTGCATCACTAACTAAATTTTTACTAAATTATCGACAAAGTTGTAGTCAATATCTCGGAAACTAAAGGAGATATCTAAAAACTGATAACACCAATTGAAAGACCTTATTTCAAAATATATAACTGCATATAGAACTAAAAATCGTCAAAATTGTGCTTACGACAATCTTCTAGCCAGGCGACGATATGAAAAAAAAACCGAAAAAGCCGTCAGCAAAAAAAAAATATATTAAAAATCAACTCGATTTTTCAGCTGCTCAAAACTTGCTTTAATTTAACTAAAATTTTTTAAAAGCCTGTCAACTGCATACCCAAAAAATTAAAAAAAAAAAATCTGGTTAAAAAGTTCGAAATTTAGATAAAAATTTATGGCATTTTTCTAAATTCTGCATAAAGTTTGAAATTGTGATTTACATGGTTTTTGTTAAAGCATGAACTATATTTTTATAAAAAAATATCAAAAAAAAATTTTGCTTGAAAAACATTGTAAGCATTAAAAACGAAACACCATTCATCCATTCTTCACCGCCACGGTATTTATAAATAAGGCCTATGTACACAAATTTATCCATTCAAAATTCAAGATCGATTTGTTTGCAAATTTAATATTTGTGAATATTATTAGCACCACACATTTGTCAACCAAACCATATTTAGCTGTATTAACTTCTTCCATTCAGACAGCAAATAACTAATGCTAATTTCTAATAAATTTCAACATTTAGCTCTTTAACATTTGAGTGCTAGCAACCACTAGTTTGTTTTTCTTTTTAATTTCTTCGCAGTCTTTTGTGTTGTTGCGTTATACTTTTTTCGTTTACCTGTGGTGATTCTCCATAGAATAAATTACTTTGCGTGAAAGAAGTCAGGAAAGTAGGAATTTATTTTAGGGTTTCCTATTCAAATGAAACACATTTTTTGTTTCTTTGTTTTCTAATAATTTTCGTATAGCATGATTCAAGCATTAATAGCCGGGCACGAAGTGTTTGCCCACCTGGTACTCGGAGCTGCATTGGTGCTGTTATCCGCGGATTACAGCCTTTTAGAGGCCTGGTCCCTTGGGAGGGTAGAATTCGGTTAGGGTGAATTAACCCTTAATCCACCTGATGCCGATTTCGGCTGTCCCTCCACATACTTTACCCGTTTCTTTTGATCTTGTGGTGTGCTGCGCTGCCATCTCCGAGTTGCTTCGGGATTGTAGATGCAGCTTTCCATGCTCATAGAACCCCAACATGAGGCCAAACCTCTTTCTTATTTGTGGCTGGTTGGATACCCATTGAGGGCCCAACGTCGTGTAGGCGGTATTCGCGCTGATATTAAAGCCATTCTTACTCACTTTCGGGAGCGGTCAGTTATACACAGGATTCTGTTGGAATACTGTGGGAAGGCCCCTGATTACAAAGCGTCCAAAGTCACGGACATTGAAGTTGTCTCTCAGAGGCCCTGTACAAAAATTCAAAGTAACATCTTAAAAAGCTTAAGTTTTGTTAGTTCCGTAAGCATTTGCTATTTAAATTTAAAAGATAGTTTACTTTTGTAAAACTTCAAATGCTTCAAATATGGCCTTTTGCATTGATGGTGACGATATATGTACATATAAATCTAATTCCATGGTAGCATACTGTCTTCAAAAGTGCGTATATGAATTTATCGATTATTTTTTAACTGAAGTTTCAACGCCTTGGTCCCTACGGGAACATATCAGTTTGACCTTTTTTTAAATAAGGCCCATAAAAGTTCGTTAAAGTGAGTGGAAAAAACAACTTCCGCAGATTAAGGAAGAACCGTCGGCGCAATGTGCTCAATATCTGCGTTCAGTATGCGGCCCTTAAGAAAAAAATGCTCGTATTTAAATTTACAGCAACTAAAAAGTACTTTTCCCCGTAACCGAAAAAATTAAAAATATTTCTTGTGATTTTTCTTGAGAACTGCATACGGACCTTTACAACAAAGCATGCATGTTTTTACTTTCTATAGTTTGTTATCTCTTTTATTTCACACGTTTTGAGCTGCCAATATTGAGTTACTAACACCTTTCAAGACCTTAAAAAAATATATATATATAAAATTATTAAATTTTATCAACTTTTTTTACAATAAACTCCTTTTATTTATCTCCTTTCAGGTAATTCATCGTAGAATGCTATCCAATTTCCACAAATTAATGCGGTGCTCTGCGAGCGTATTGCAATCCTCTACACCCATGGGTGGCCGCAGTAACAGCGGCGGCGGCGGCGGCGTTAGTGACGGCAGCTATGCCGTCGTTGATGGTATATCCAAATCACTATCCTCACCCTTTAATATCAACGACAACGATCCCAATATTGCCACTTGTTCCGGACGTGGTGATTGCCTAAATGGCACTTGCCTGTGTGAGATACGCTACGCCGGCGATGAATGCAGTGGCTTCAATCTGCCTTACTATGCGGGCATTTCGGCTGTTTTCTATTTTGTAGCACTGGTTTCTCTTGTGCAACTTTTCATTTGCATATTTGCCGAATATCAACGTTTGAAACAGCCATCAGTTTTGCGTGCCTGTCGGCTGACAACACAAAAAGTCTTATATTTCATGGTATTCGTGGCGGCATCCCTAAGAGGCGCTTATTTTACAACACCGGTAAGTACAAAATATGAGTATATATGTGCATATGTACATATATAATGCCCTGGAAAAGCAAGCGATGCGTATTGCAATAATTCATTTATGGATTATCATTAATTGTCTTTTCCTTTGTATTGCAGTTGGATTTACAGCCACAATGGGCAATTACACTTATGTCGGCGTATTATCCGATGTTAATGACCTGCGCATCGCTTATTGTTTGCATGTGGGCTGAGGTAAGTAAGAGCATAAGTAGCATTTAGAGCGTATGTACATTAGGGTGGTCCAAAAAACAGTAAAGTCGGAATTGTAATGGCTCTCACCCCCTAGGATTGTTCTATAACGAAAAAATTATACCCTTATTTTATTTTTTTTTTTTTGAAACCAAAAAATATTTAGAGGTCGCTTAAAGTTTTCCATGTATTTTTATATCGGAAAAATAAAATTTTTCGTAGCTGCGAGTCCGCTATAAAGCAAATTCACCCTAAACCTATTTCTATCTATTTTCAAAGGAGTAAACTACCGCACTATTTATTTACATAAAACAAACACTTATCCATATAGGACCTGATAGGCTTCGGGTCGAGCTTATATTAAGCCAAATTGTCAGTGAACATATTTTTACTTCAGTCATATTTTCAGGATTTGATATTCGAACTAAATATTTCTTTCACCATTTTCCACTTTTAAAAGTAGCAACTGTTCATTCAATCTATCCCGATTTTTTTTTTTTGTGCGGAACTTCTGCTCTGCAAAACTTCAAATCATCCGTATAATTGCTTTCAAGAATTTGTAAAAGCAAGAAACTGGTTATTTTCGATTTCATCGGTGTCATTGTATTCACTTTTTGTTTCTAACATTGCCTTATCGGCAGAATCCCCTTCGTTTGGCTGTGACTAATTAGTAATGCAGTATTTGCTAGCGCGTGCATATTTATTATATGCACATTCTAAAATTAATCAACTACATATAAAAATACACTTCGTATGTATGTATGTATGTATGTATTCTAATGTGACAACAATAAACCACAACACTATCAGTTCACATTATCAGTAGCTAAGGTTGAAAACCGCCTTTACTTCTTATCAGTTCAGTGATAGCATTGTCTAAAAAATAGGTGGAAAACAAAGCGTTCGAAAAAGGGTGTCTCCCCTACTATGGTAGAGAATAGGTTATGCGATCAAATCAGTTCCCTTTGTCATGCTAAGTGTTTCTATAATTCGATGAACTTTTCAGAAAAATAATTTCCTAGTCATGGCAAAGCGACTATTTGAAAGCGATGCACACGCTTCAAAGAAGAAACGTTGCCTAACCAATATGCCTATGTTCATATATTTATATTTTGAAGCTGAATAAAATTTGAGTGTAAATGTTGCGTTTAGAATTATCTCGGCTTCACCGCTACTAATTAAAAAAATGCTAAAATATTCGAACGCTTCGATAACGAGCTCTCAGCTTAATTTTTACGTATTTCCTTATGAGATATTTCCGCACATCGATGTTTTGCAGAAGCAAAACAAAAATCTAATTTTTTTCCTAAACTGTTTCAGTTACCTGAATCAAATTCGTCTCGACTCTACAATAACCTTTGGGAACGATTTTTGCTAAGTGTACAATTTACAACGGGGATTTTTTTTCAGATCATTGGGATAGTCAAGATCAGTAGTATTTTCAAGTCAATTTATAGAATAGGGGTGGGCAAGACTGAGGCCGAAAAGAGCCACATGTAAATTCTAGATGCTACAAAGAGCCACAAAACAAAACAAAAAACACAAAAACAAAAATTTTATTTTTAAATAAAATTATTAATGAGGGGGTTCTGAAATTTTTTTTTTCAATTTTATTTCAACATAGTTTGATTAAAAGAGAAATACTGATAAAAATAAAATTTTTCTCACAAACAGGGTTGAAATTTTGAAATTTGTGCCCGTGGCATTGTGCTACTATGATAGCGCGGCCGAGTAATCATAGTCAATCAGACAAATTTTGACAATTTTTAAAATATTATTTTTGTTGTTATTTAATTTTGGTTAGCTTTTTATAGTTCATTCTTTAACAACATCGGTATAAATACAAGTTTAAGGGCAGCGTTAAACGATAGGGTATTTGCCGAAATTTGGTGCAAATCCGTGTCCCGGTTGTGTGAATACTCAAATATTTTTTTTTTATCCCAATCACGAAAAATAATTTGTTGAAATTTTTTAAAAGAAAATTGCTATATTGTTCCAATCATTTGATTACATGAAAAATGTTGCCAATTTTTTTATTTTGTACCAATAGCCCAATATAAAAATGTGCAAATCTGTACGAATGTACAAATCGAGTGCCACTGCCTTAAAAATTTATGCAATCAAAAAAAAAAATATCAAAGAATTTTCGTAATTTTTTTTTTTTATAAAATTTTGAGTATGCAGTTTTGTAGCCCATTGTATTCTAGTATAATAAAGTAAAAGTTTCAAATTGCTAAAAATTACGGTTGATTTTTAGAATTAAAAAAAAAGCTCGAAATTTCTACGAAAGTTTGTTGAATTTTTTCTTTCATGTTTTCAAATGTTTTGATATTTAGGCGCGATTCCACAGGTGAAACAACAAAGCTTGGTTGCTTCAAAGGTTGCCTCGTGTGTAGTTAGCATAAGAATAATTAATTTTTTAAGCTTTCGAAAGCTTTATTTCTGATATAGGAATTCTATTCAGACTCTCTCTTAACTGAGTTCTTTGCTTAACGCTCTTTTAATAGAATGTTATCGTCTACCTTAATTGTAAATAGTGAAATAATGGGTGTGTTGAGGATTGAACCCTGTCACACATCTGCTATATAAACCTATAGCTAATTTTAAGTACATTTGCACCTGGTTGTTTATGATGGTGCTTGTGCACTTGAATACTTTCATTATCAACGAATCGTTCACGTGCATAAGCGCTAAAAAAAAATAAGAGAACTTCGCTGTTGTTGAAGACTGCTTTCGTTCAAAGATCTTTGTTTTTATTAACTAGTAGAATGTTGCGTAGTGTTTATTGTTTTGATTTCTGTGCTTTCAAATTGCGACATACATATGTACATACATACATAATCTTTATAATCCAATTCTTATCAATTAATTGCGAAAGGGAATGACAAATGCGTTTCTAACATTCAGTACGAAATGGTTGAGTCGCAACGTCGTTCAGTAAACGTTATTTTTTTTTTGGAATCAGCTAAAATAGAAAATTTAAAATAAATTAGTGTTTTGTTATATATTTTATGTATATTATATTTATTCAAGAGCAATATTTGTGAAGAAAAATTATTACAGCTTTACGAAGTTAGTTGTATTTTTTAAGTGACAATGATTGGCCGTACCAAAATTGTTTGGTTCAAGTGAAAACATAAATTAAAATTTTCAGTTCAAACAAATTTAATTTCTACCGTTAAAAACTTATATCTCGTAACATTTGCATCAACAAAAAAACTTTTTGTGTGATTTAGTGCAGACGGTAGCTCTGATCGAATAATTCACGAAGCTACTTATGTTTAAAATTTTTCCAACACCCGCAAATTATCAATTTATTCAATTTTTATTTCTAATATTTGCTATGCGATTTTGGGCTTTACTATGGATTCAGAAAAAATGTTTTTATTTTATTTTATTTTTTTTGAGAAATAATGAAATTGTCATGAACTTTAAACTTGTAAAAAAAGTTCTAAAAAGAAACTTTCCATATATTCAAGACATAACTTATAGCGAAAATTAATCGGATTAAATATTTTTTGACAAATGCCGGACAATTGGAAAAAATGCAGCAAAATTGAGTAAGTCTCAGATTTATTTCAAAGATAAAGCAAACATTTCTTGCTAAGCTCATTGTTTATTCAAAAACCTCTAACATTCTTTGTTTTAAATCGATATTTAAACCTTAAAATTGTGTGCGCCTTAATCTTGTCACACAAAGGAAAAGGAGCTACAGTTTTGCGCCGACTCCGAACGGCGATTGTGTTTTTATGAGAAGCTACCTGCCGATGGGCGACCACTATTCCAAACATTTTTTTTTTTTACATATTTTACATATTTTATTTTTGAGCTCGGAAGCTGTGCTTGAACCTAGACCCTGCGCAATGGTAGCGCGCAGTGCTACCCACTGCACCACAGCGACCGCCGTAGTCCGTTTAGTCATGCGCAAAATTGTTTTTATGAATAAGTTGACAATTTCAGCGTGTTAGAAAAGTTTTAATTTGAACCCAGCTTTGTAAATTGATCGACTAGGCTTATGACATGTATTCAGTCACTCAGAAGGGTTCGTCTGATTTACTTACACGGTGCTATTTTTTGATCAAATGAATATATCCCGATATTCAAATTTATTTGTAATGCATTTATAATTCCAAACATCTTTGGTTGACGGTGGCATTAAATTGTTGAGGCATTTAAGACCTAACTGAATTGAAAATTTTACATTTGATCTTAGATATTCGAAAGTTTTTTCACTTGCGCCAAACAATTTTGGTGCGGCCGCAGCAGTAGGGGTAGGGAGGGACTGCTATCGCATTTATTTTTTAGATGCATTATAAAGAAACGCCGTGTATACCCCCCTCTATAAGTGTTGCCTAAAATGTTCGGTAAAATTTTGCCGATTAATTATTTGACCGCCGAATTTTTCATGTCATATGCATACTTCGCAGATGGTAAATATGATACACTAATTTTTAGAAGGTAGTTTCACTTAAAATTTTTTTACATAAACTGTGTCTGTGACAAACACGCAAAAGTAGCCACTGCTACGATATAGAACTTGGGGATTGATTTTCGCTTATTATTTTAGATATTTTTTAACGGAACATGTAAATATTTATTTATTTCATATCTGATATCTTCACTTTTAATATACATATCGTCGTTTAAACTACAAAACCGCGTATCGTCGTTCTGCAAAACCGCATAACTGTCATTTTTTGCCTAAAATTGGATTTGTTCACCGAAGCTCTTGGCTCAAGCCTTATCCATTCGTGCTGAAATATACTAGCCAGGAATGCGATTGCTTAAAAAAAAAACAAAAAACTATTTTGAAATATGAGTGCTTTCACCAACGAAAAATGACACTGAAGATGGCAACGCCGAAACCGGTTTGTCTCCAAACCAAATTTGACAAGGGATGACGGAAAATCGTTCCACAATACATCACTCTAGAAAATAATTTATGCACTAATCTCGATATGCGATTTTGCATTTTGTTGATACGCGGTTTTGTACTTTAAACGACGATATATCGATGGTCCTATGTAATAACGACACAATTCAATATTCAAAAAATCAAATCCCTTCCTACTGTTAAGTGGCTTATGTCTCTAATCCATTTCTTATCCATGCGTAATTCTTGCTAAAGTAAGTAGTAAGGTTTACTGCAGTTAGTCGTAAGGATTCGACATGGATCAGATAAAGATTAAAGACCCGAGCGACTTAACAGTAGAAAGAGTTTTTATTTTTCGAATTTTGAATTGTGTCGTTATTGCACAGGACTATCGATATGTATGTATTTAATACATATGTACATACTTGCCACTGCTAATCACATTAATAAAAATCATACATATGTAAATATGTATGAACGAAAATGCGACGGCAAAACTTCTTGGCACACCACAGACTTTATCGGCTGCCGATTTAGTTGGCCTCACTGGTGTTTCCATTGTACCACACCTAATTAGGCGGAGCGATTAAATTAATGTAGTGTACGCGCATCCATACACCTTCATTAACATATTTCTAGCGAGTCCCAACTAAATCAGCAGACTGCGGTGCTCATATCGTTCCCCCGGAAGCAGCAGTTAATTTTGTCAACATTTTTATGAAGGAAAATATTAGATAATTTTTGAAAATTTCTCTTCTGTTAAGTTTGGCTTTGTTTAGTTTTATTTTTCCAGCGTCAAAAGCTGATGTTTTTTTTTAAATTCGTACCATGAAAAATACGAAACACGATTTCGGTCAGATAGCTAACATGGTCGATAAGAAAAAGCGAGTGAAACTACCTTCTAAGAATTATGGTTACACTAGCGCTCGCAAAGAAGTGTCAGGTTTTAAATTCAAAAAAGTTAGTATTTTGCATTTTTTGTTTTTTTTTTTGTTTTGTAGAGTTTTTTGTTTTGTAAAGAGAAATGAATACAAAGAGCAAGGCATATACTTTTGTCGTTTTCTTTTGAAAATGTGTATATTAAATATGAATTTCATTTTATGCGAAGCAAGCACTATATTGCATTTTCAAATGGATTTTTTGGTATGGCGGTAGAAAGGAGAGCATATTTATACATTTTTAAAGTACATATCATTATATAAATTATGATTTGACAGTACACTTTGACATTGCCAACTAATAAGTTGACGCCACCGCCATCATTTCGACTCATTTCTTCAGTTTATAATGATTGTGTACAATTTCAAATAAATTAATCTTAAACCAGTAAATTTCATTGAAACATCGACACTATCTCGGCGACGCTGGCTTAATGTACAATAAATCAAAATGGAGTTTAGAAAAACCATCGAAAAAATTTAAAGGCTCGATATATTACCAATAGCTGGAACATCTGTTCTATGGCCATACCTAAATTGGCGCGTTTAGCGTTTCTCTTCTATGCTTATGCACCTCTAGCGCATTAAGGAGAGAGGCTGATGCGCTTTCTTTGGGTATGGGTTCTAGAAAAAAAAAATATATTAGTTAATAATTTAATTATAACTTAATTGAATACGATCACGAATATTAACAAAATTGAACAAACGAACAGGAAACAGAAATACGACAACGTGAACGAATTAGTCGGACATTTCAATGATGAGATTGTCGCGTCATAATAAATATAAAAAAAAAAAACTTTCCAAAATGTAACAATATGTCTTCCATGCAATACGGTACATAAAAAGCTACAAAAATATTTGATACATTTTAACACAAACTGTATGTATCACAGCAAGGGAAATTTCTTAATATCGGAATTTTCAAAACAAAATCGAATAACCACTACACGGCTCTTTTTCTAGCTACAGCATTAGCTTTACGAAATTTATCTTTAAATTCTTCTCGCATAAAAAATGCAAAACTCCCCGAAATTACTGAACTTTTCATTCATGTAAAAATTTAAAAATTCTTACTTTTTTTCAACTAAAACAAGCCACTTCGCTACCAGTTGCGATGTATGAATGATACACGAAAAAATCGGCGTTCAAGCCAACTATCGGCAAATATTTACCGAATTTTTTAGGCAACGAATTGTAAGAGAGGCGGCCATGGAGTATAGCGACAATGCACGTTAGCGGTACGAATAGTGTAGGGTTCCCTTATTAGAGCTACGAACGGCAGATGGTTTTTTTTTATGAAAACTGATTTTATGGCAACAATGCACTCGGAAGAGGGAATCTCTCGGAAAGAAATAACGTTTCAATATTTTCTGGCATCAGAGATGATCGAGTCAGTATTCAGCCATCTAAAATATCTGTACCTACTCGAAGGCATACCTTTGGAATGTCAAAAGAAAATCTTCTGCAATGAATTGCTGCAATATTAATAAGCTTTTGTAGCATTATCTGCCTGCAACAGGTCTCCAGTTAATTACCCAGGAGAATTCCACCAAGTTAATACAAACGATTTTTGGTGGCTAATTCTGCATATCGGCGGTGATACTGCAAAACGTCCTGTCACTTATTACCTCTGGTGCTTAATTGATCTGTTATCTGTATCTGATCGCTTCTGGCAACCGTTCATCTTCATCAGCCGAAGGTAGACAGGTTTGTCATTCGTTTATTAGGGTGTAACGATTTACAGATGCATTCCGGTGCACGTAAAACGCCCTACAGACGCATTGATTTTTCCGCCAACCAGTTGACCAACCCACTAAACGAAATTCCCTACAAACGCACCAACCAGTTGGCGTATTTCATTTGAGTGAGAGTTTTTGAACTGTAAACAACAAAACAGCACCGGTAAACTTTTAAGATTTGCTACGAATGCTTCTCATTTTTATGTATTTGTTATTGCTACCGCCCCCCGTTTTAACAAATTAAACACATTTTCACTAGCGAAACGAACCGAAAAACACTTGCCATCGTTAATGCGCTTTAAACAAAAAATTAAATCGCATTTTAGGTTGCCAACTTTACACAGAGCGACAAGTTGACCGATCGGCCTCAAAAATCAAAAAATTTTGATTTTTCTCCAACCTGACGAACAACGTGACGAAGGTTTGCTAACTTGCCTACATACTGCTTATTTACCACCAACTTCCAGCGGTTGGCCAACTGGTTGGCCGATAAATCGTTCCGTGTGTAGGGCCTTTAAGAGACCATCTATCTAAGTGTCAAGGGTACTAATAGACATAGACCGTTTTGCAGTATCACCGACGATATGCACCTTAGGCCGAGGCCACGCAATGAGCGGCAAAGCAGCGATCGGCTGAGCGGCTTAAAATTAAACATATGAAATGCTATTGAAGTGGCCACGCACTGAGCGGCATTTTTGTATGGCGCCGCTCAGCCGCTCGCCGCTTTGCGGCTCATTGCGTGGCCTCGACCTTAGGCAGCTAATATTTGTCTCAGCTTAACATACTACCACTAGATCCTGAGTTGGAGCTTCTGAGTGTATTTCTGCCATGAAAGCTTTTCATAAAACACCATCTGCCGTTCGGAGTTGACATGGCAACATAAAAAAGATACAAAAATTTATATTTACGAAATCCAGTTTCGCAGACGGACGGACAGACTGGACTTAGTTGCTTTTTTTATAATGTTAATAATGATAATACAAATTTGATCACTCACCCGCTTTTATTTTTCTCCTTTCGTTGCAGATTTTCCATTTACGCGATATCCGTTGGGAGCGGTCACAATTTCTATCGAAGAGTTTCCTCGGCTTTGTTGCATTTAACTTATTCCTCTACAGCTTATTTGGCGTTGAAGTATTCTCATCGCTGATCACTGCCGATCGGCAGAATTATGCGCACATTTTCAACGGCTGTTATGCAGTGCTGCTACTCATTGTAGTTATTTTCTTTTTGATCTATGGCGTCGAAGTGTATTTCAAGTTGCGTGGCGGCTTTGTTTATGATCAGACAGGCAAAATACTCGGTCCCAGTGAAGCGATCGTAAATGCATCACAGCTACATCAGTCGCGTTTGGGTCTATTATCGCAAGCGATTATGTTAATCGTTATTGTGGGCTTCCTCACATCAGAGACATTAGGTGATTTCTGGAAAACAAAGTAAGACGTCAATTAATACACAAAATAAAATATGAAATAATTAAATTAAATACCATTTCGTTTCACTTTGTCCAGAGTGCCAGTGTACTCACGCAATTGGCATGACATTGTCTTCCGTATTGTGGAGATGGGTGTTGCTGTTTGGTTCCCCTGTTGCCTGTGGAATTCGATGGCACCCGAGCAGCTTTGGATTTTGAATCCACGCAAATTGCTCTCACGTCAAATCGATCCTTCCATACCGACTACATCGGCTGAAACTAAGAGCCTCTCACCGGAGGAAGGTCAATCATTTTTGACGAAAAAAGACTGCTGGATTTGTTATGATAATGACAAACCTGAACCGCTTATACAACCATGTCGTTGTACTGGCGATGTTAGCTCGGTGCACCATGAGTGTCTCAAACGGTGGCTGGTGGAGAGTTGCAGCTCAACAGATGCGCAGCTATCGTGCAAAGTTTGTGGCTTCCCCTACGAAATTGAGAAGAGTAAAAAGTAAGCATAAGTATTTTAAATAATCTAAAAGAATATAAAAACAAAAGGCGCGGTAAAAAATATTTCATATTTACTTGGAAGATTTTTACTTTTGGAAACTAACAAAATCGATATTTTTCGAAAAAGAAAAAAATATTAAAAAAAAAACAGTAATTATATTGATTTTTTTGAGCCGGGTTGAATAAAACAATCCGTTTTTGTTGTTTTTAATTCGTCTTTTAAACGTTACGTTTTTTGATTAAACATAATTGTTGTTTGGATTTTAGTTCCGTTAATCAAATATTTGCGATATGTATGTATTTTATGATTTTTTTACTTTTCAATAAAAAGTAATCGTTATCATCGCATTTTAATTTCTCGGAATGATATTTTATGATTTTTTATTTGTCGAAAATATTCGTATCGTTATTTTTGGAAGTTCATTTTTTCGATCGCTTTCGATATTTGTTTTAAATTTTCTGCCAATTTAGTTCTTACAATCAAATTTTAATATTTCATGACTTTTACTTAATCAATAAAAAAAAAAAAATTGGTGAGCGATATTTTTTTGTTTTTTCTTTTCAAATTTTAACTTGAAAAACATTGTAATTATATATAATTTTTTGAATTTGGACCTTTTTATGATTTTTAAATTTCTATCATTATTTTGCGACTTTAATTTTTTCGATCAAATTTGATAGATTTTTTGGTTTTTTATCAAAAATAACGGCATTCTGGAATTTAAATTCTATTTGTGAATACATATTTCATTTTTGGGATTTCATATTTTTTGTATTTTTAAATTTCGATCAATATTCCAGGATTTTACTCTTTTCGATCAAATTTGATCAATTTTTGACGATTTTTTTTTTTTTGATAAAAAATATTTGTTATTCTGAAATTTTAATTCTATTTGTGAAAATTCAGCGCAATTAATGATTTTCTTTGTAATTAAAAATAACTATAATCACATCACATTTTTATGAATCAAATTTGATCAGTTTTTTATAGCTCTAAGTAAAAGATCTAAAAAGTAAAGATCTTCCAATGTAATTTCTTACTATCCCGGAAAAATCATTTACCCATTTCCGACCGGCATACATAATCTTCAAATATCTTTGCAGACTCGACTGGGAGAAGGGCTTCAACATGCAGCACTGGTCCAAGACAATCATACTGATGACATTGATGTGTGTTGCCGGCGCTAGCGCTTGGGTTGTCATCCAACTGTACGTAGATCCGCTGATACGTGTACTAACAGTCGGTATCGCCGTACTCATCGGCTATGTGTGCATCAAGTGTCTGGGAGAAAACACTGTGGTGGCATATCAGCGCGCCAAAGTAAGCTCCATCAATATAGTGACAAAATCGGAAATGGAAAAGTTACACACCATATGTGAAGATGTTGGCGAGCGACCAACAACAACGGCAGCGGCTGTGGCCGCTACTTCAACAGCTTCGTCATCTGCATCAGCATCAACATCGACGATGAGCACAACTGTGCAATGATTATGACCACCAAATGAGTACAACAGCAGCAGCAGCAGCAGCAGTATTGTTGAGTCAGAAAATGTGCGTTTGTTAGACACGGATGATGCGGGGCATGAGCAGCAACAGCAGCAGCAATTGATAGAAATTGAGCAATTGAAAGAGGTAGAAGTGTCGTTAGTAGTAGCAGCCGCGCCGCAAATAGCACCACCGAAAACGATTCTTAGTTTTGCTAATATTGCAGAGAAGAAATAACGAATCAACTACTAACTGACTAATTATCAAGTTGTAGAGTAACTACGACACGACCGCGACGACGAGCAATTACTATAGCGCGTAAGACCAAATGGCGAAAACAAATTACCAAACACAAGGACAATAGCAGCTGTGCTAAAAACTTAAATAGCTATGATTTTACACACACATATACATGTAAACAGCTGCATATTGCTGCAACAATTAAGAATATATTAATTTATATACCTATACTTTATAAAAAACAAATAATAATAATTGTAGTAAACAACATTTCTCGTTTGGTTCAAGTTTCATTAACAAACAAACACATGCTACTTACAGACATACATACCTTCATGCATATGCACATACATACATCATACTTGTAAATACTATTAAAAATGAGAAATTTCCTATTTGTTACGCTTTCACACAACCAATTTTATTTCGGTTTGTTTACTTGGAAAAATTCATCAATTTTGTGCTAGAATTTCCGGGCGTTTTATACACGCGTTTAACATTTACAGCGGATTCTTAAATTTTAAGTCTTTTGATAGCCGCAAAGAATTTGTAATTAATTAAATTTTTTTTTGGAAAATTATTTCCCAAATTTAAATAATTAAAACTTAAGTTTACAAGTATTGCAAATCAAACGATGTTTAAATTCAAGCGTTTGTATTTAAATTAAAAGCGTATAACGTTATGATGTATTTGTCTAATTTACATACACAAATTAATAAAAAAAAAAAAAATCATAACTACGTATGCAGTACGTCTATAATTTCATCAGCTACATATACAAGCTTGGTCAATACCAACAATACAAAAATCAACCGTCAGTATCATTGCAATTGAGATTAAAAGAATGCACTGTAATAATGTTTAAGAAACATATGAAGTAAATATAAAAGGCTATTCGTGGTATACACTTGTTTAGTGCAAACGATATATATGTAATAAAAAAGGAAAAAAAATAGATTAAGAGGAAGCTGAACACTGACAACTGCAAGAAATACATTATTTTGTTTTTAATCGACTTCAAAAAAAGGAGGAGGCTAACAATTCGTCGGAATAATATTTTTTTTTTATACATGCTATCGCATATCTTTGAACCACATTAACCAATTTCTATAATTATTCTAATTCTAATTTTTAACGGTAAGGTGGTTCCATACTAATTTGGTTAAGATACGATCATGATCTGTGAACTACACTTCCTGCCAACAATCAACCAAATCCCCAAAAAAAAAAAAAGATACGATCATTGGATCATGAAGAAATCAACGGTCCTCTTAAATTTTTATATGATAATTGATGATTGTTAATCAAATTTTTCGATTACAAAATGTTCAGTAATGAGCAGACCAACCAACGCAAGTTTTAATTGTTGTAAACATAGTTAAAATTTGAGTCGTAAAATCAATGCCCAATCAAATGAGCCGCTTAATTTGAAAGTGGCATAAGTCATTTCATGCCATTTGGCTTCAGTGACCATTTACCCGTATCTAAAGACGTCGTGTTATTCGTTCAACTTCATCAGTCAAAGGTAAAAAGTTTTTCATTAGTTTTTGACGGTAGAACGATTTGCAGATGCATTCAGTTAGAAGTAATTAAGAATTTAAGCACAAGCGGTTTAAATGACTTATTCAACTTGCAAAATAAACGGCTCAAATGCTGCTAGCAGTGTGGTAGATTTGGCGTTTAAGTTCAGTATAGAAAGAGGGAGTAACTATTTATTTTATTTTTTTCTATAATTTTTAAGTTTTTATAGCGGAGAACTTTTGTAGACAAGTGTGTTATAACTTTGTTTTCATAAGAGTTGTTTGCAAAAGCCAAGAGAATTTGAAACGGAATAGAAAGAGAAATCGCGCCATGCCGTTGAAAATGGGCAAAAACTGACAAATTAAAAAAAACTCACTTCCCAAATAATGGTTACTTTTAAGAAATACGAAAGCGACAACTGGTTAATCGCGATTTTCGAAAGCGGCAAAAGGCGATATTTAACGGGTTGCTCCGGATATACATATGTAGTTCGGCTTTTGCCCGAACTTATACGACATTATTTGTGAATGAAAGTTTCCTTCTATATTAACTTTATGGATCGACATAATAGTTAAAGCGAACTATATAAAAGCAATTATACATGTATATCAATTTAAGTTACATATTAGAGCTGTTTGTTTCACTTATTTTTCACACAATAAATTTTATTTCATATTTTATGATAGAGAATATTTTTTAAACACGTAAAAAAGTAGGCCCTTTTCACAGTAACGTAGTTCACATTCGGCGGTAAACTGTAGATTTTGGGGCAAAAATATAATTTAAATTTAACAGCTACATATGAGTCCCACTGTGAAAATCGAGCAAAAATACATATATAAAAGCTGTACATGAGGTTGAATGTAATTGAGTAGGTAATAAAAATATCAAACTTTCCAATACTACTTATTAAAAAAAAACCCGCATGGAAACCCGTGTTGTTTTCAAAATGCTAGATGTTCTCATACTTAAAAAATTACGCTCAAAAAATCAGACTTGTAAATAAAAAACATCTTTAAAAGCTTACAAAAAAAAAAATTATACAAAATAACGGAAAATCGTATTTACCAGAGTACCAAAACTTAAACGACTTAGAATATTATGCATATAATATTACAAATAGTATTCAGCTATACCAGCTTATTCATTACATTTAAAAAATAATGCATTATTAATTATTTTTGCTAAAGTACATAAACAAATACAAATCATCACACATCAGAGTACGAATATTATTTTTAAAATTTAAAACTAAAAATTTTTTAACGATAACACACCTATGTATTATGGAATACATATACTTTTATTTTTAATACGAATTACATTTAAGTGTTAGTTAAGCTAATATATGTACTAAATTACCGTGCTAAATTTAATGTAGTGTAAACAAAGAAAAGATAAAATAAAATTCAAATTGTACACAAACACGTACATATATATGTATGTATTTACAATAAAATTTAAGCAAATTAAATTGTAATCAAATTATTGTGATAGCAGCATATGTAAAATTCATTAAAGAAATATGCATGTAAGAAATTTTACAAAAACTAAAAAAAAAATTTTATTGAAAAAATGAGCAATCTAAGAATTCATTTTGAACATGAAAAATTCAAGCAGCGGTAGTTAAGCAATTCCACTTCGTTGCTTGATTTGTGCTTAGTCCGACACTGTTGGACGTAGCGAATTTATGATTACTGCTACTGAGGCTACTGTCGAACAAATGGAGACAAAATTTAATTTTCCAAGTCTCACTTTTTGCAATTCCACATTTGATAACAGTGCATTCTTTTTGAAAAATACATAGATGTATCTATGTATGCCTAAAAATTCATTCTACTGAAGTCATTGATATATTGGTGGTGGTTTTTATTAATTTTGTAAATCTATTTTTTTTGTATAATTGAACTTCTGCAGGCCGTTTTTTTTTTTGTAAGTGCAGTCTAGAATGCGTTAAAAAAGCAGCGTTGTCAAATACGGCCTGACATATTCCTAGCAATTATTCCGGCTCTCACTCCAGTTTTTAATATTTGATTTAGCCAAGTTGTTGCTCATGACGGTTATGTACATGTTTACACCACGATTCTTTTGTTTTATGACATTTCATCTGCCTGCCTTTACCAAACATTGCCGTGTCTCTTTTAAAACTCGGTGACTGCAGATGTCCATCAGTTGTAGTTCCTTTCGGGTTCGTTCCCGATATTGGGGACTATCACAGAATCTATCGTAGTCCGATTTTTCATGAAATCTCCAAAAAGGCGATCCCTGAATCCGAATTGCGATGAACGTGTGTATTCAAAGTATACGCTATGTTCGTGGTAATTCGAATTCTGTGATAGCATTTTCGTAGATTTCACTTAAAATCGTACTACGAAGGATTCTGTGATAGCCCTGATTTTTAAATTCTAGATTCTTCATCTCGTAACGATTATTTTAAATGTTTTGGTATACATATCTCTGACGATCAGTCCTCAAGTCATGGAAAATGCTTAAAAATTGTTTATCATTGTTGGGACAAAGTCCAATATTTTATGGTTCACACGATCTCTGTTCTATATCGGGCACCAATTAACGTAAAGTTTTGGCCAAATGGTCAAATGTTCTCTGATTCGGTCTTAAGGTTATAAAAACAAAGCAACAAGCCCCGGAATTTCAGCATCATTTAAGAAGTATGCATAGCAATTCTTGGATATTCAAACATTCATGAAAATTATATAGATTATTAGTTAATGATAATGGAATAAAGTTCAGTCAGATTAGATCGCAGCCCTCAAGATCTTTTTCAGGGAACTTAAAGCTCCGATTGCGTGAAATTTTTGTAATTTGTTGCCAGAGTTGCTTTTGTACTCGCTAGGTGGGCGAGATATTTTGAAAATCGCATGAATGTTAACTTTTGTTCCATGGAAAGAGATCTAGAGGACCCTATAGTATATCAATAGTCTAATATGACAGTACTAATACATATGTAGCTAAGAATAATGCTTGTAAACGAATTTTTCGTAGCGCATGTAGAATTTTTTAGAATTTGAATTGTGTAGAAAAAATTGTTGGTAAAAATAAATATGAAAAAAATCTTGGCTGGCTTTGGGCATATGTATAAAGGCGAATTCATCGTTCTAGTTCTGAACATTTTCCTGCATGTGGTTGTTGGTAAAGGCCCCAAAAAACTATAGATCAATGAGTTCTGTGTTCTTAGGATGAACGAAGTTTAATTTTGTGTTAGAAAACGTTGATGGAATAACTAACATTTTACGATTTTCTCCAAACGCTAATTTGGGGATTTTTTATGATAGTAAAACTTTGAAAATATATTTAAGATTTTGACCTTTCACTATTGAATTTTGAAAATTTTCAGCACTTTCGAAATGTTTCAGACCTTTCAGTTTATGGAAAAAGCCCAATATTATACTTATCGAGGGCTTATATTCAATACCCTATATCTGATTTTGCAATTTACTGCAGTTATTCGGACTATCACAAAACTAACCAAGACAAGACGAACTATTTTTGATCGATAAGAAATCATTTCAACAATATCTTAGCAAAGAGACTTTAGAGTTTAGATTTAGTCGCGGAATACAAAATTTTACTCCCAAAAATGGGCTTTCGTCATTTGATTGTAAGATTTTAGTAGCTGTTAAGCTTAGGTAAGAAATCATGCTTTGTATGTAAGCCTTAATTATTTGAAAGTGGATCAATCAGGCACATGAAAAATTAATATGCAATTAAAAGCAGTGCATATTTCAAGGCTTAGCACCTTGAAGCTCATAAAAAATATACAAGCGCATATATTTTCACGTATGTTTACAAAATTTCATTCATATGTATGTATAAAACGAAACTACATAAATAGTATTTAATTTAAGAAATCATCGTCAATAAAATAAATTACAAACATTACGTTTTTCGGATTTGTTATTAGTTCGAGTAAGTGGAAGTGTGTAAGTATCGTTTTATAAAACTCTTTTCGACAACTTGGCAAATAAAGAGATCCCCCTATATTATACAAGCGAGCTGAACTGATCACGGTTCGCTTGCCTTAATTTTATGATTAACATTTAATTTTTAATTTTTCTTCTCGTCTTAATATCAATGTATTATTTAAATGCATTATATTTAGAAATATTCTTCATTTACAATCGAGGTACCACCGATTTCAATCTCCGTTTCCAGAAAGAGAAAATAAAGATTCACTATTACCTAACGGCAAAGAATTAAACGGTTAAGTTAAATGATTAAATGATTTGTAAATATTTTTCCACCAGTTGAAAGTTAAATCCTGATAATCCTGTTTCCTATTAATATGGCCCCCTATTACGGTTGGCGTCGTCGTTTTTCAGTCGACACCACTTCGTGTCGACGTCGAAATCAAATCTACGCAGAATCGTATTGGCTAAACGTGTTGAGACGACGTCGACGATTTAAAGATAAAATGAATGTAAGAAATGCCATCTTAGTCATTTCTGCATCAGCTGTTTCATTTTCTTTACAATTTGTATGCAAACGATTTCCTTCTTAGGATTT